AAAAACCCTATTGTTACCACACATATTAGACATAAACAGGGGGAAAAGCAGTCCATAAGCACACCTATCAATCAGCACTGCCACATAGATGAAATCCAGTCCAAAGTAGAGAGAACACACTATACTATCAGCCAACCATAGAGTTCTGTTCACGCCTGTCCACAACCATCCCTCTTCGAGTCGTCGATTAGAGGGTTTCCAGTAAACCACCACTACGAACACCACCACAGAAACTGGAGGCATAGTTACCTCCAAGAAGGAAAAACGACCACTCCTTTTTGGTCTCTTATCGAACCTCCAACTAGTTTGTGAGTTATTTCAAAAAAAAAGTTTTGATATGGCGACCCAAGGAGAAGAAAAAAAAAGAGTTCAAGACTGATTTTCTAGTGGTCTGATACCATGTGAATGATTCAATTAACACTACTTCAGTCCTAGGTCTGAGATAAGAGAGAAAGAAAGAAGAAGAAGAGAAAGAAGGATTTGGCCAGAGAAGAGGAAAAGTCAAGCCCTCTCAGCCGACCCACCTTGCATTTATAATCTTTGTATTAGAATACAAAAGACAGATCTGTCCCTCATTAAGTATGGGACACACAACTTAAACCCAGACAAAATAGATAACTCATCTTTAATTAAATAGACAAATGACCAAACTACCCTTGTACTGTCGATTCTAACATTCTTGTCCCAACTATAGGGTTCAACTACACAATCCTATTCCACTATTTCGTTCTATTAAGTGCATGCATTGAGCTGTCACTTATGGGGAACTCCCCAGAATAAACACAAAATGACAATTCAGGATTCATGTTTATAAGAGTTCAGCAAAGCTTTTCATGTTAGCTGTCAACCTGGCACAAGCATCTATCTAGGCTTGGAACTGGTGGTGTAAGACAAATTAAAACTAGTTCAAGATCCAGGATCACATATACACTTATTTATCTGATATACATCACCATCATCATCCATGTCTTATCCCAAGTATATGGGGTCAGCTACATGAATCCTCCTTCACCAATCCGTTCTATTTAAAACCATATCAACTATTAAATTATTAGTGCGTAAATCATTTCTTACTAATTCTAGCCATGTCCCTTTTGTTTTAATGCTATCAGTTTTAGCCCCATTCACTTGTAACAAATCACTTCTTATAACTGGAGCTGTTGGTGGTCTTCTATGCATGTGACCAAACATCTTAGTCTACTCTCTCATTTTATCACCTGTTGGATCTACTCCTAGGTTCCATTGATGACTTCATTCCTGATCCCATCCTTTGTATTTTTTTTCCACACATCCATCTTAGCATTCATATTTCTGCCACACTCATTTTCTGGGCATGTTGATTCTAGACTGCCTAACGCACTCCTCCATACAATATAGTTGGCCTTGCAACCATTTTATAGAATTTTTCTTTTAATCTAAGTGGTATTTGCCTATTACACAAAAGTTCAGATGCACTCCTCCATTTTCCCCAACCTGCTCTAATTCTTTGGGTGGCATCCTCTTCAATCTCTCTCCTGTTATGAATTATTGAACCACGGTACCAGAAATAGTCACATTGAGTTATCACTTGGTCTCCAATCCTAAGTGTATCCTGATTTACGCTCCTATTATTACTAAATTTACGTGTCATATACTCTTTTAGTCCTACTTGTTTTAAAACCTCTTGCTTCTAAGGCATTTTTCCATAATCTTAATTTTGCATAATCCTTTATTAGTTGCATTTAATATACATACATGTTATATAAAATTTAATTGGACTTGGATATTAACCAGATCAAATAAATTTAGATCTGAATCCAATCAATTTATGTAAACTGACCATCAAAATCCAGAATAATAGAGCCAGGTCTTGAACCACTGGACTTTATTAACAGCCCTACCTATCCCCACATATCAGGTGGATTTAAAATCACTTATTACAGAGGAAACAAAAAGTTCCAGGTATCACTAGCACCTCTAATTCTTGGGTATGGGAAACACTGTTCTACTCACTGTCATACTTCCATAATTCCATTTAGTTTTGGATAAAAAATGCTCAATTTTGAAAGTTTGATGGAACCAGTGGGTCCCCTCATAGGCACTTGGCCCATTTTTTTGCTGCCTACAAGGAATCAACAATATCCAATGCCTTCACAATAAGTAGTACATTCAATCTCTATATGTTATATCCTTCAATTGGTACACTCGGTTGGCATCAGGATCAATTATCAAATGGGACACAACATGCTTCCTCAACACAACTGGTTAGTTATAAAAGAAATTTATTAATTACTAATCAATGTTTTTAAAACATGGATTTCTGACACGAGGCATTTCACGACTTGGAGGCATGAAACATAGTTTACAGTGCAAAAGGCGTAAGCCTACCAAGCACAAAGAGGCATAAGTGTTGTGTAGATGTTTTATATGTTTTCTTATGGTCTCATGTGATTGGGTTCATATGTAGCGTGCTATCATCAGTTTTTTGGGGTCCAGGGAGCATATGCCCCCCAGCATGGGTGTGGAAGACAGCAAATCCTGTAAAATGGTATTTTGATAATACTATAATAAATAAATTTGGAGGGTTTTAATCCTCTGGATTATGTTAGTATATAATGGAGAACATAATAAAATGGTTACCCACTTTTTTCTATAGCACTTTATTATTGTAAGTAGTTTAAATACAAAAGAATAAGAGGCGTAAGACACTTGTATAAAGTGCAATTTAGGCATATACTTCATATGCCAATAGGCTGAAAGTGTATGCCTCTATGCTGGAGGCGTATGCCTCAAGGATCAGATCAGACGATCAGTATGCTTCTAGGCTGGCACCTCTAGGCATTTACTTAGCACCTCGCCTGGAGGCGTGCCTCCAAGCATATGCCTACAGCATTTTCTAAAATAATTTTATTAATATGGCCAAAACAAAACAAAAGCCAAATAAATGTCTTAATGAGTACATTAGCATTATGGAAACCTACATCAATGAATAGAGCAATTAAAGGAGACTGCAATTGTTCAAATATGTGCAACACATTTCTTTCCAAAGATTTCCACATTTATGGAGGCAATCAAACTACAATCTTTTGATGCCTTAGATTCCAAGGCAAGCAATGTTTAAAGGAAAATTGCCTTATCCCACCTAGTTTTCCAATCCTTGCAAACCTAAAAAGTCTATCTATGGTCTCAAGCAATCTTCCCATGTGTGGTTCAATAAATTTAGTTATACCATTAAAAGTCATGACAAAAAAACTTTTATTAATGGAACAAAAGTAGCCCAAAGGGTGGAAAAAATCCAGAGAGACTTTCTATGGAAAGGTTGGTATGAGGAAAAAAGGAATACACTTGGTCAGTTGGGACCAAATTTGTTCTCCCAAAGGAAAAGGGGGTCTGGGGATTAGGAAACTGAAAACATTTAGTAAGCCCTCCTTGGAAAATAGATCTGGAGGTTTGGGACAGAGGATAGCTGGTGAAGGAGACTGGTTGCAGCTAAATATGACACTGACAGAGATGACTAGATAACTAACTCTAGTGTTAATTCCTTAGGGTGCTCCATTTGGAAGAAGATCATGGATTTTTATCCTTTGCTGAGTAGGGGTCTGGTTCTGAAGGTGGGAAATGGTCAGCTTTTAAAATTCTGGAAAGACAAATGGTGTTCAGAAAGGTCTTTGGCAGAGTTATTTCCTCAGTTGTATCTCCTGGCTGGCAATCAGGAAGCATTGGTGGCTGAGTGCTATGAAGTCTCAAACAACTCCATCATTTAGAACCCCTCATTTAGAAGAAACTTCAAGGATTGGGAAATTAACCAAGTGAGGAAGCTGTTTGAGCTGATTTCCAATCAGACCATAAACCTGCTGGAAGAAGATAGTTGAAGCTCGATCTGGAGTGCAGACGAATCATTTTCAGTAAGGTTCTTTCCCAGATTTTTGGAAGGAGATAACAGACCTGTTTTTCCAGCTGCTACTATTTGGAATGCAACAGCCCCTACCAAAGTGCTCTTGTCTGAACTGCTGCCCTGGATGGATGCCTCACTAAGGAAAATCTGATGAGGAGATGAATGCAGATTCAAGACTTAAGTTGTGTGTTATGTGGTCGGGAGGAAGAAGATAAATGCCATTTATTCCTCCACTGTTCTTTCGATGTCTCTATGGAATCACTGTGGCTGTATCCTGGGCCATGCTAAATTCTGTGTTGGATCTGCTATGGTGTTGGGATTGTTTAAGGCTTTCCAAGTTGGCCTAAAGTGTTTGGAGATCAATACCTGCAGAAGTGATCAGCACTATCTGGGTGGAGAGAAACAATAAAGTGTTCCAGAACAAGGCTAAAGAAGTAGACAGCCTCATTTCTAGTTCATTTGGCAAAGTGGTGTCTTGGACTGCATCCATAAAAGGTTTCCAAACCAGGGAGTTTGGAGCCCATCTGAACTCTAGAAGTCTTCTTGAGTTGTAATGTAATCTGGGTTTCGGGCCTAGTTTCTCTTAAAAGGGGCCTATTTGTATCCTATTTCCATTTCTTAATAAAATTACCTTACTATTTTCAAAAAAAGAAAAAGTTTCCTACTACTTTGAATGGGCACATTGATGATATTGTGCTAATTGAAAGTGTTGTTATTGAGAAGTTGAGAAACAACAATTGAAGCAATTCCTGCATTTAATTTGAGATTAAAGACTTAGGAAATTTTGAGTGCTTCCTTTGTGTTGAGGTAGTCTTGTTATGCCCACTCTATTATTGTTCTTTATGTGGGAGTTATAATATAATATAAAAGGACAGCATTATCCCTTGTTACACATATCATGCTTTGCTACAGTACTGTCATAATTGAAGACTACAACCATGACAAATTAGACCTTGACAGATAAGCTAAAACCATAACCGATTCAGTAAAAAATCAAAATGTAACCAGATTCATTTGGAATTCTCAATTGGAAAATCTAATGTTCATTCACCTATATGTCTATGGCACGCAAAGAGTGAGAAAAAAACCATCGAAGTTAACAGCACAGGTATGTGATTGAGTAAACCTTTGGGCATGTAAAACCATTTCTTCTTTTACACCATAAGAATCAGATTCAAGATTAATCTGCAGTTTTTCTTTGCAATGTGGTGACTCTACAAGCAATACACCTTGATTGAGATCAATGAATGTACTGATAACACACATTTCTGGAACCTGTACAATCAAAGTTACAAGCATGAGATTGATCATTATCTTCAATTTCAATGGTTAGAGATGAAGAAAACGTACTGGCCTATAAGACATGTAATGTGCATGTTATAACCAAGAAAGCATATGCTGAATCGCGAAAATTTAGTCCAAGTTACATTAGAAAAGTTTCATGATGGGAACTTTTCATTTCACCAATAATGTAAAATAGGAGTAGACAAAGCTACACCAATCCGTCATTGAACAAAAATTGACACCTGACCAGATTATTAAGAGTAGGCAAGTAAGACCACACAGATTATTAGCAGACAAAGCTACATTAGAAAAGTTTTCATGAAACTAACTCTTCAATTTGACCATTATCGTAAAACCTGGTAGACAATTTTTATGAAGTCCATCCCAATTGTATCCAAATAAAGACTTCAAAATCTAAATGTAGTCACTACACACTACCAGCTAGTCTAATATCTGAGACCCTTGCAAACTAGCATTCCAATCAGTTGATACAGATCTAAAGATGAAAGATGAACAAGTAGTAAAAAGAAAAGGATGATCAGGACATAAAAAAGGAAGGGTTCGCTATATGGATCTAAAGACATTATCATCAACAAATTTATCATGATCCACAAAGTTTCCTTGCTTTGAAACCATCTTTTTGTGAATAATAAGAAAGAAGGGGGAAGAGAGAATTGGGCCAAACAATACATGTCAATCTGCCTCTGTCTGGTGAGACACTCTTTATAAAATATTTATATTATCCAAAATATAAAAATTCCAATGGAGATGATATTACATTTAAGTCCTTTGTGTATGATCCAGGTGCTGTATTATCCCTGGGCTATGGAATACATTTGAAAATGCACACATAATTTTATAATGCAATAAATTTTTTACTACTTCTAGGAAAATGACTCGTCCTCTTTACCTGTACATTCTTCTTTTATATATTATTGAGGACATCAATCAAAAAGGTGGAAAAAAATAGTGTCAGGGTAAAGAGAACAGAGGATAATCCAACAAATATACCATTCATGTTTACCAATAAAATCTAAAATCTATTTTCTATGGCAGTAACTAACAAAAGGAATAACAGTATATTTGACAGCAATTCTAGTGAGGTCTTGTTTATAACTGATAAATCTGAACATACATCAGGCTTGAATTGGAGTAATTTTGAAAGAATGATCTCTAGTTTCATTAATGCTTGGGAAGTTCTCAACTCAGGTTCCCTGTTGATGAACATGAACTCAAAACCTATACATGTGTTTTGATGCATGAGGAGAATATTCCGAGTACACCAGACTTGTCAAAACCAAATTATAGATGAGCCAGCCATCTAGATGTGCACATCTCTGGTTCAACAACTTAGTTTCTGACCAACAACTCTAACATTATAAAAATGCAAGTCCCAAGAAGAATTGGTCATTTAACAAGTGAATCTACACATGGATACAATACTTAAACAAGATATTCATCCTCCTAAGCAAACACAAGGGAATGTCATGCCTAAAAAAATTGAAAAAATACAAGCAGATGATAACAGAGAAAACGTCTATGTATAGGCAATGAAGTTGGATAAATCATGCAAAAAAGTAGACAGTTAACCTTCTTCTGAGTAAGAATTTCCCCATTTGGGCTTTTGAGAATCCATTCCCGATCATGTAACAGGCCTGCTCAATCATTCACAGTAAAAAGAATGAAATGTTGTACTTGAATACTGCAATCTTCAATAATAACAATCAATACTCTCAAGATGCTATCTTATATAATAAGATGGTGAATAGTTCAGACTTCTGACAATATATTTACAAAAAAAAGCAACAGAATTAACTCTCTTATTGCACCCTAAGAATTCTGACAAGTTTTGAGGGGTTTAAACCCTATATGACAAAAAACCCTTCATAGTTGTCAAGGTGTAGACAATTCTGGTCAACACTGGGGCACCTAGTTGCCTAGGTGACATCTAGGTGATGAGAATTTTATAATATAAAGGAGTAACTTTTGGCTAGTCCACTAGTTTTATATACCATTAATCATGCATATTAATTGAAAATTAGCAATTCTCTTTATTAAGAACATTAAATTTCCTCTGAAAATGTGGCAAATCATCATACCTAAAAGATAAAAAAAATCTTTTAAATATAATTAATTTCATTCTTTTCAATACTAATAGAACAAAAACAGCCTTCTGAATGGACTGTTTAAAAAGATGCGGAAAAGTTATTGAGAACAGCAGAAATCAAGAATCAAGAAGAGAGAAGAGGAAGAAGAAGGTGGCGGCAATAAGGGTTCAGAGAGAGATTTTCAAATCTAATATCCTCTTACACCCCTAATCCCTTTTCATTAACTTAATTTTAGTAACTTACAGAGATAATTAAAAGTACATAATATAAGAAAGGCCCAAGTTGAAGTCCATTACAGCAAAGAACATAAAGAAAACAAATAAGACAACAGTCTATGGGCCATTCGGCCCATCTTCTCTACACTCCCCCTCAAGCTGTGCATAGATGTCAATCATGCCAAGATTGCTAGTATCATGCTGAAGTTTAGCCTTGGGGATGCCCTTGGCAAGGAAATCAGCTAACTGTCCTTCAGAAGAGATAAAAGGTAGACAAACTTCTCCAGAAGCCACTCTTTCTCAAATAAAATGCCTATCAACTTCAATATGTTTGGTTCTGTCATGTTGCACCAAATAGTGAGCAATGTTGATGACAGCCTGATTATCACAATATAACATTAATGGCTTATCATGCTCAATACCCAATTCCTTGATCAAGGATCGAAGCTACAGCAGCTCAAAAACTCCATGAGCCATGGCTCTGTATTCAACTTCGGTTGAAGATCTGGCAACAACTGATTGTTTCTTGCTTCTCTAAGAAACAATATTACCTACCACCAAGCTACAGTACCCAGAAGTTGATCTTTTGTCATCAATATTTCCAGCCCAATTAGCATCTGTGTAAGCTTCAAGTTTCATATGACCATGCTTAGCAAATAGAATTCCCTTTCCAAGTGAACCCTTCAAATAACAAAGAATTCGTTCTACTGCCGCCATGTGTCCCTGGGAGCATGCATGAACTGACTAATGCTGCTGACAGCATATGCAATGTCTAGCCGAGTCATGCACAAATACAGCAGCTTCCCAAGTGTTAGCGTAGGGGTATTTCTGTCTTTATACCTTGATTGATGTTGCTGATCTGTAATGTTGTGTTGAAACATGTGCTCTTAACTTAAGTAAGGGCACATAGGTCTTTTCAGTTATGTTTTAATAATAGTATAAATAG